TCTTGAAATTTGCTAAAATAGTAAATCTCACACAAGTGTATGAGATAATGTGTATATTAACTTACTTGATTTAGAAATTCCACAGTGTATACCTGCTTTAACATGTGTTGTATACCATTCACATATGCCATTTTTATTTAAAATAAACAGTAAAAAGTACTTGTGGTCAAAATATGCATAGTGTTATAAAAACAATTTCTTGAAATAAAAAATTTAGTTGGTTCACAGGAATAAATTCTAACAGAAGATGTGTATAACTTAGAGAAAATTATAAAATTTCACTTGAGTGAAAGAGTCCATAGATTAGAAGACTCCTCTAAAACTACAAGAAGATTTTATTTTTGGTTTAATTTTTAATATTCCTTTTATTTACTTGAAAGGGAGAAATAAGAGAGATCTTCCATCCACTTCCCAAATGCTTGCAACAGCCAGGGCTGGGGCAAGCTGAAGCTAGGAACCTGGATGTCAGTGTGGGTCTCCCATGTGGGTAGCAGGGGCCCAAGTACTTGAGCTATTGCCTGCTGCCCCCTAGGGTGTGCTTAAAGGAAGCTGTATGGGAAGAAATAGCCGGGACTGGAATGAGGGACTTCAATATGGAATGTAGGTGTCCCAAGTAGCAACTGAACTCCTGGTGCCAAATGCCCACCCCAAGAAGGAAATTATAAAATAAAGGGAATAAACGGATAAATATGGCAAGATGGGAGAAGAAACAATGGGAACAGAATTTTGGAAGCTAGAAAGCAAATAGATGACTCCTACTGACTTAAGTTTACTTAAGTTCAAGAAAGTTGAACCTTAAGCTGCTAGTGAGGAAAAGTTAAAAATTTAAGACAATTTACATAGAATCTTCAAAAATCATAGGCATTGACAACTTTGGGTACTCTGTAATAAAAGGGGTTCAAGTCAGAGTTACTTAATTTATTTCTCAGGCCGGCGTTGTGGTACAGTAAGGAAAGCTGCTGCCTGCGATGCTGGCAGCTTCATTTGCGATCCAGCTCCCTGCTAATGGCCTGGGAATGTAGCAGAAGGTGGTCTAAGTATCTGGGTCCTTGCTACCCACATGGGAGACCCAGAGGAAGCTCCTGGCACCTGGCTTTGACCTGGCCCAAAGCTGGCCTTTTCAGCCAGCTGGGGAATGAACCAGTGGATGGAATGTCTGTTTCTCCCTTTCTTTCTAAATAAATAAGTCTTTAAAAAAGTTTATTTCTCCTCCCTTAATCCATACCAGTGTGCAGTCAACCTCCTATTTTAGCAGAAGTTTCTAATTTTATCCACTAAAAAGGATAGAGAATCTGTATTAATGGATGCCAAATAGATTTGAAGGCCTGGGTACTTTACCAAAAAGCAAGGAGACTAAGTGGTGATATGCACACTGAACATTGAATTCAGGGCACCTGAACCTTCTTCCTGTTGAATACTAACATTAGAATTTTCGTCCTGTATTGTGAAGCTCAAGCCCAACTCCTGCACCCAGGAGTTCCCACTGTTTCCCCACACTGAGTCCTGAGCTGACAGCTGAAACTAATCAGGTACTTGAGGGGCCTGTGTCGCAGGGCAGCAGGTGAAGCTGCTGCTCACCAGCAGCACCTCATATCAGCTCTGGTTCAAGGCCTGGCAGCTCCACTTTCCATCCAGGTCCCTGATAATGGGCCAGGTATTTGGGCCCCTGCCACCCACAGGGAGACCAGGATGGAGTTCCTGGCTCCCGCTTTCAGTCTGGCACAGACCTGGCTGTTGTAGTCTTTGGGTAAATGAACTAGGGGAGTAGAATGCTCTGTCACTCTGCCTTTTAGATCTTTTATGGGGACAAAAGGTTCTAATATAGAGGCCCGTACAAATAAGAAATTTTTTAAAGAGATCAATAATCCCAAGACAAAACACTGCTTAATGCAAAAATGAGGTACAACAGAAGAGAAAGAGGTGCTTCTAAAATATGGGTATTGTTCAACTTAACAAAATTAGTGATGAATCATAGGTATTTTCTTTAAACTTTTATTTATGTACTTTGAGTAGATTTATGAGTTAAAATTTTTAAAAGTAAATGAAATTATCAAAAAGATTGCAAATTTGGAAAAGAGCCAAATAGAACTTAAAGAAGTTTAAAAAATACAGCTATGCAATTTTTTTAAAGACATGGGATGGGTCAAATAGCAAATCAGATACAGCGCAAAAAGATTTGTTTGAAAGTCAGATTTACAGAAATAGAGGGAGAGAGGCAGAGATCTGTCTTCCTCTCAGAGCTAGGAGCTTCATCTGGGTCTCATGTGAGTAGCAGGAACCCAAGCACTTGGGTCATCTTCCATTGCTTTTCCCAAGCTATTAGCAGGGAGCTGGATTGAAAGTGGAGCAGCCAGGACATGAACTGGTGCCTGTATGGTATGTGCCACAATAACAGTCCTAGACACAGCTTTAAAAATATAGATTTGGGGGCCGGTGTTGTGATGCAGCAGGTTAAGCCACCGCCTCCAGTGCCAGCATCCTGTATGGGTGCCAGCTTGAGCCCCTGCTTTACTTCTCATCAGCTTACTGCTAATGCACCTGGGGAAGCAGCATTAAGATGGAACAAGAGCTTGGGCCCCTTCACCCATGTGGGAGACCCGGATGAAGCTTCTGGTTCCTGGCTTCAGCCTGGGGCTATCTGGGTACTGAACCAGAACAGAAGATCTCTCCCTCTGCAACTCTGCCTTTGAAATAAATATATCTTGGCTGGCACCGCGGCTCACTAGGCTAATCCTCCGCCTTGTGGCGCCGGCACACCGGGTTCTAGTCCCGGTCGGGGCGCCGGATTCTGTCCCGGATGCCCCTCTTCCAGGCCAGCTCTCTGCTGTGGCCAGGGAGTGCAGTGGAGGATGGCCCGAGTACTTGGGCCCTGCACCCCGTGGGAGACCAGGAGAAGTACCTGGCTCCTGCCATCGGATCAGTGCGGTGCGCCGGCCACAGCGCGCCGGCCGCGGCGGCCATTGGAGGGTGAACCAACGGCAAAGGAAGACCTTTCTCTCTGTCTCTCTCACTGTCCACTCTGTCAAAAAAAAAAAAAAAAAAAAAAAAAGAAAAGAAAAAAGAAATAAAGAAATAAATATCTTAAAAAAAAGGTGGGGGGGGGGGCCTTTTGGCCTAGCAGTCAAGATGCTCACGTCCTGTATTAGGGTAACTGGATTTGATACTTGGCTCTGGCTCCAGACTCCAGCTTCATGCTAATACAGACCTGGGGAGGCAGCAGTTGATGGCTCAAGTGGTTGGGTTCCTGCTGCCCATTCAGGAGAGGGTTCCAGGCCCAGCTGGGAGCCATTAGAGGCATTGGGAGTGTGAGCCAGCAGGTAAGAGCACTCTCAGCCTTTCTGCTTTGCAAATTTTCTTAAATACAAAATTAGAGGGTAAATATTGAAAAGTCACCTCAATATAAAACTTGGAAGACATGAAGGAATAGTTATTAGACAAGGAGAGTCAAATGAGAATGTTTCAAACACCTGGAGCTGCAAAAGAATTAACAAGTAACAGGCCAAAGGCAATACTGGAATAATGACTGAGGATTTTCCCAACTGCGTAAATAACATGAATCTTGAGATTTGGAAACTCAAATGAATCCCAGTAAAGATCTAAAGAAATCCAGATTTACAAATATCAGAGTGAAATTTCAATAAGACAAGAAGATCAGCCAGAAGAGAAATTATCCAAAGTGACTTAGCCTCGATAAGCAGAAAGAAATAACTATTGACTGTTAAGTCGATATGAGTTTTATGCTCAGCTAACCCTTTTATCAAAAGAAGAGTACAGATTGGGCATAATGGCACAGCAGTTAAGCTGCTGTATGGGATGCTTGGATTTCCCCCTAGCCCTTTTTGTTTTTTAAAGATTTATTTGGGGGGGGGGGCACTGTGGTGTAGTGGATTAAGCCACCGCCTGCAGCACCAGCATGGGCGCCAGTTTGGGTCCTGGCTGCTCCACTTCCAGTCCAGTTCCCTGCTGATGAGCCTGGGAAAGCAGTGGAGGATGGCCCAAGTGCTTGGGCCCCTCCACCAATGTGGGATACCCAGAAGCAGCTCCTGGCTTTGGATCAGCCCAGCTCCAGCCATTGTGGCCATTTGGGGAGTGAACTAGCAGGTGGAAGACCTCTCTGTGTGCCTCCCTCTAACTCTTTCAAATAAATAAATCTTAAAAAAAAAAAAAAGTTTGTTTCAAAGGCAGAGAGAGGAAAGATGGAGATCTTCCATCCACTGGTTCATTCCCCAGATGGCCATAACAACCAGGGCTGGGCCAGGCCAAAGCCCGGAGCTTCTTCCAGGTCTCCCACGTGGGTGCAGAGACCTAAATACTTGGGCCATCTTCTGCTTTCCCAGGCACATGAGCAGGGAGCTGAAGTGGAAGTGGGGCAGCAGGGACTTGAAACAGCACTTACATGGGATGTTGGTGTTGCAGGCCATGGCTGTAACCCACTGCACCACAACACTGGTCTCACCTGGATCCCATATTGGAGTGTCAATTCAAGTCCTGGCTACTCGGCTTCCAATCCAGCTTCCTACATCCTGGGAGGCAGCAGATGATGGCTCAAGTGCGTGGGCCCTGCCACCCACATGGGAAACCCAGATTAAGTTCCAGGTTCCTGGCTTTGTCCTGGCCCAGCGTTGGCTGTTGCACACATTTGGGGAATGAACTAGCAGATGGACAGTGTCTCTGTCTCTTTCTGTTACTTTGCCTTTTAAGTAGATGAAAATAGATGTTTAAAACATAAATTTAAAAAAGGAAAAGTGAAATTAAGATTTTCAGGGCAATAAAAAGAATTTACCTCAACAAAGTCTTACTTTAAACATTCCTAAGAGATGTTCTTCAGAAGGAGAATGGTCTGTAAAGGCAGGCTGGAGATGAAAGAACGAATGGTGAGCACAAAAGTTGTTGCACATGTGTAAATCTAGATGTACGTTGACTGTAAATTCTATTTTGAATTGAAATCAAATTTTAATGTTATGGTAACTCTAGGTTTTGTTGGGTTGATTTCTTTATAGGTGTACAGAAGATGGGTGTCCACATAAGAAATTCTTTCATACACGTTTTCTCATGCGAATGAGATTAACACCAGATTGTTCCAAAATGTTGATCTCAACGTCCTCTGGATATCTCTTGATTTTGCATGATCTTGACTTAACCAAGTCTTTAGAAGTAGGCAGCTATCCCATTTTGAGAGCAAGAAGAACTACATCAAATTCTGGTAAGCTTTTCTTTGACAAAATGAGTTTTCGAAATAATCTTAGACATAAGAATGGCATCAATTTCTATTCTGAGAATGATAGCAGGACAAAGGAAACAAGATTCAGAAGCATTCTTTAGAAAGCTCGATGATAGCTCTTTTTCCCAAGGTAGTGAAATGATTTGATTGTATCTCTGACAGCATTAATTTATATCAAAAGTGGGCTAGGATGAATAACTATAAAAAATATTTTATCTTAGCTTTCTGCTAGCCAAAGAATCTTTCATCAGTACTTCTGAATCATCACACTGAAAGGTTTGTGATGGCCCATGGTAGTGTCAGGTCCTGGAGTCCAGCACAGCTTTAAAGTTAACGATCATTGTAGATTTGTGTTGTGTCCCCTCTCCCATTGCTGATTCCATTAAACATAAGTGATCTTGGGGCTTAGAAAAAAACTTAAGTACTACACTTGATCAACATTAAAGAGACCATTTCATCTACCTTTGGGAAGGAGAGGACTGGTCTGGGAACATATCATTTATAATATTGTGTTTATGAACAAGAACCCAGAAAAAACATTTGGATCACAAGATGTTTAAGCTGCTATTAGAAGGCAGCTTAAAATGATCAGAATCTGAGTTCCCAGGGTCACTTATTTTCCTTTGGGAGGATGTAGCATAATTATAGTACAGTTGCCCAATTTAATTGATAAAAGTGGAAATTTAAGTTTTACCAACCTACCTGCAAGACTAATAGATTAGTGAATATAATATTTTTTAATTCAGAACTGCCTTTCTAAAAAAGTTAAATATTGATAACCAACTTTAGCTTAGTGAGAAATAGTGATTTAGAAGGTCTAGTTGAACTTTGACTCAACAGCCAAGAAGGTTTCAGTCTCCTAAAGGTATTTCTGATGCCAAATAACATGATAGGAAATCAGATTACTTAGAATTCCCTGTAGAGGTGGGGCCGCCAGAAAAGTGTGATGAAATCAGAGTGCTGTGTGGTGTGGTACATCACACTCAAACTACCTGATGCGCATTTTGTTTCTTCTGCAGATTTGGAGATAAAGCTTTGTACTATATTTCACAAACAGGGCTTGTATAATTTCAAGAGTGATAAATTTTTTGGTATGCTTTAGAGGACGATTGGTCTGTATTCCCAAAAATGGGCCTATTTTTGGACCCACTGTAACATTAACCAACAGGCCAAATAGCTTAATTTAATTTTCCCTGAGTTATTTGGTTCCTTTCAGTATATAAATGATGGGGAATAAAATACTATGCTTATTTGGTTTTTCATTTCCTATAAGCAAGTTTTTGGTCTGAAAGATTTTAGAATGGGCCTAGGCCTTAGGACACTTCAAAGAACAGCCCTGCCTTTCCTTGGTTCAGTTCATAGCCCAGTTTTTTTGTTTTTTTGTTTTTTGTTTTTTTTTTGCCATGTTTCAGGTGGATTTCAAAACTATGGTTCAAAATAGATAATTAAAGAGTTAAGACACTACCAGAGTTATTCTAGGCTAATTGTCAGAACTCTTTGTATTTTCAAGATTTGACCACTTCGTCAAGTTCTTCTGGTCCTAGAATTTCTGGTTCACCTTGTCATCACAGCGATTCCAATTCAGCTTCTGAGAAACACATGTCACGAGCCTCTCAAAGAGAAGGTACGTGAGAAGTCACATAAAATCCCGCAGTACCGCAGAGCTTTACTTGGTTGGTTTTAATCTATAAACAAACAGGAGCTATTAGAGATGAGGCGGTTTCTCCCTGAGGTTTGACTGGCTTTGGCTTAAATCTTCGAGGGAATTTGAGCTTTGGTTTTATCACCTGGACCAAATTTGGTCTAGTTGGGAGAGGATGATAGCGAAAGTCACTTGGTCCCAAGTCCAGGAGGCTTTTGCTCCTCCATTTCCTTGCCCCTGCAATGCCTGACAGCATTGGAATAAAATGAGCTGCAGTCTGGCCCCGTCTGTAGTTGCCAGTTTCCCCCCAGCCAGTCTGGCAGAACTGGATGCTCTGCCCTTCTGCCCCTAGCTGAAATGCATTCTGCCTGTCATGCTGGCCCTCTCCATACTGATCCTCGTCTTAGCCCTTGCACCATTTACTATTTTTTTTTAAAGATTTATTTTTATTTATTTGAAAGAGTTGCAGAGAGAGGGACAGAAAGAGAGGTCTTCCATTTGCTGGTTCACTCCCCAAGTGGCTGCAATGGCCAGAACTGTGCTGAGCCGAAGTCAGGAGCCAGGAGCCTCTTCCAGGTCTCCTATGTGGGTGCAGAGGCCCAAGAACTTGGGCCATCTTCCACTGCTTTCCCAGGCCATAGCAGAGAGCTGGATCGGAAGAGAAGCTGCCGGGACCAGAACCGGTACCCATATGGGATGCCGATGCTTTAGGCCAGCGCTTTAACCCGCTGCACCACAGCACTGGCCCAGCACCACTTACTGTTTATCCTCTTGGTGCACCGAGTACTAATGGTTACATGACTCATTTTTGGTCAGTTTTCGGAGGTAGGCTTGTCTGTACCTGGATGTTTAGGACAGGGACTAAACCTTAGACTTCTGAGTTGTTTTCTCTGGATGGCTTCACCTGGTAGGTACTGGTTCTCTTGTTTGACAACTCAGTAAAATGTCTGGACAGCCCTTTCTAACCCAACTGATGGCTAGACTTTCCCTGTCCCCTGGGTGTTGAAGCCTGTGATGTTTCACTTAACGGTTAAGAAGTCCTTCCCTGGGGCCAGCACTGTGGCATAGCAGGTAAAGCCACTGCCTACAGTGCCAGCATCCCATATAGGTGCTGGTTAGAGTCCTGGCTGCTCCACTTCCTATCCAGCTCTGCTATGGCCTGGAAAAGCAGAAGATGGCCCAAGTCCTTGGGCCCCTGTACCTGCAGGGAAGAAGCTCCTGGCTCCTGGCTTTGGATCAGCACAGCTATGGCCATTTCAGCCATCTGGGGACTGAACCAGTGGAAGACCTTTCTCTGCCTCTCTTTAACTCTGCCTTTCAAATAAGTAAATCTTAAAAAAAGTCCTTCCCTTAAATGTAAAAGATGTATGCCTGTAGGTTTAACATTTCTTTGATTTGTAGTAGAAATGTCTCTGCAGATCTACCTTTTTCTCCCCCTTCTACGTGAGCTATGGTAAGTCAGCAAAATGATCAAGAAACAAGTGTTTATTGATTGGTGACTATGCCATCCATGAGGGAAAAAGTTAATTTAAGAATAGTTCATATGCTTGCCTGTTATTGGCCAGTGGTGAACACAAAACAAATATATAGCAGTTTTATGCTATAGAGAGTTGGAATTGAGGGAAGAAATACTGTTTGAGGAGCCTAAGAAGAGAGGTGGAAGGTTAGAGGGTGGACACAAAAAGGGAAATGGGGGGTGGGGAGGCTTACAGGCGAAGTTGTTGTAATTGTTGGAAATCCTGAGTACTGCTCAGGTGTTAGAATAGGTCTGTGCCACCCTTTGGTGAATATAGTAGCTTTATCCAGAGACTTTTGACAGGCAGAGTGGACAGAGAGACAGAAAGGTCTTCCTTTGCCGTTGGTTCACCCTCCAATGGCCGCCACGGCTGGTGCACCGCGCTGATCCGAAGGCAGGAGCCAGGTGCTTCTCCTGGTCTCCCATGGGGTGCAGGGCCCAAGGACTTGGGCCATCCTCCACTGCACTCCCTGGCCATAGCAGAGAGCTGGCCTGGAAGAGGGGCAACCGGGACAGAATCCGGCTCCCTGACCAGGACTAGAACCCAGTGTGCCGGCACTGCAAGGCGGAGGATTAGCCTGTTGAGCTGCGGCACTGGCCTTCCAGAGACTTTCAAACTCATTTCAACACTGAAGATATTTTAACATGAAATCTGCTGCAAATTCTTAAGGATGCAGAATAAATAAAACCCAATTAGGTCTGGTTGAAGCAAGATTAGCGAGGCTCTTGAGCCTCTGGTATTCGCCATGTGACTTCAGCTCTCACTTGGTTCCTTCCTTTTGCCAGTTCTTGAGACGCATCCAAGGGACACAACCAGAAAACCACTGCTTAGCTTTAATAGAATGGTCTTCTGTTTTTGTTTTAGGTTTTCAGAATTCTTATACTAGAAGTTTTTCTCTAAAATTGTTCAAAGTTCTGTCATGTGTGAAGTCATTGTTTTAGTTATAGGTTGGTCATAACAGTGTAATTAGGATCGTCACACGTCTCCAATAGTGTGGTAATGTAAAGGGAATTTTTAAGATCTCTTTGCAAAACGGTTCACAAACTCAGGGGTCTCCTTACCTTCAAAGTAACTCCTTCCACAGTTGAACTATTTCTCTTAAGCTTCTAAGCTCCTTCCTTACAATGTCCATGAAAATGGTTCTCCACGTGGCTGAAGGCCAGAACATATTCCATCCCCAACAGCAGTTACTGTCAACAGGGCTAGGGAGGAAGAAAGGGCACCGTCGAGGCGCCAGGAAGAGGTGTGATGTGCAGTGTGTCGCATCTCTTGTTTTGATGTGCCTCTGTGTGAAGTGCCCTCCCTCACCTCCAAAATTGTCTGTCTGTTGTTACAGTATTCATGGCCCCCAACTTAGAATGGTTCAGCTAACTTTTCAGTTCTGATGTGAAAGCTATATGCATTTCATAGAAACTGCATTTTGAATTCTGAATTTTGGTCCTTTGCTAGGCAGTGTGATGCTGTCTCATGCTGGCAGGGGCAGTGAGCAGTAGCTCCCAGCCAGCGCAGTTGAGCCCGCACCCTACGACGCACTGTGTTGCTAAGCCAGCGTGTTCAGGAGGCTCAGGGTCAAGTGCATCTTCAGCTGGGGATGTAACCCCATTGTGAATCAGAGGGACCAAATATCCTGATGCTGTCGTCAACTTGAATGCAATATTCATGGTTTCCCAGTACTGCCCTCTCTGGACTGGAGAACACCAGTTTCTGACATGAGAATTGTTCTTTTAACTTTCTTGATTTCTCCCATGTCACATAACTGTTTCTTAAAGGGCTTTCTGAGATGAAGATCCAAATCAAAGGGACCCCTCATCAACTGGGGTCTGCTGCTGGAGACTCCTCAGCAGAACCTTGAATTCCTTAGTTCTAGGCATACCCTTTCCCGTGCCTGCACCCGCAGAATCCACACACACAATCGTTGGTGAGGCACCACTTTCTTTACGTGTGGCAGCACAAGGGGCAGACTCAGGAACGAAAGCCCAGGATGAGCCTGCTAGAAATCAAAGCTCTGATGAGCTGTCTTAGTCCTCAGATAACACGAATCTTCTATCCTTTTTTTTGTATCTCAGGAGTTTCACCACGAAACAGTCTTGAAGTCTTAACCCCTGAAGTTCCTGGTGAAAGAGACCGTGGAAACTGCATTACGTCCTTACAGCTGCACCCGAAAGGCTGGGCCACTCTTCTTCGGTGCTCAAGCAACACCGATGATCAGGAGGTACAGGTGGCAGCACTCCGCCTTCAACAAGGCAGATGGGCCAGACTGCCATTGCCAAGTGTGCAGACCTTAGCCCTGGACACAAGTCCCCACCCTCCAGGGTGCACACTGTTGGAGAGCTGGCTTCCCTACCTTTCTGACTTCTTTTGCTTCCTGGTATCTTTATCCCTTGCAAACTCTTACTCCTTTCCTGCCTAGTGTTAGGAAGCTGGGAAGTATTTTAAAGGGCCATGATCACCTCAAATTAGGCCTCTCAATTGTTTTTAAGGTAAAAATGGAGGGAAGAAAACAAAACAAACTTACATAATAAACGTGGGACTGAGATGGTTCAGCTATAATGGCTAAATGTGAAGTTTTGTTAAGCCAATTGAATATTAAAATTATCTCTTCCTAAAAACCAGGGGAAACTAGAAAAGGAAGAGATCTAAATGGGTTCTTAGGGGGAAGGGTCTTAAATGGCTTCATGATTTTCAACACTCTGAAAGGCAAGAATGTTCCAAGTATCTCACTGGCTCTAGAGAGGCTAAAAGGAGAGAAGAGCCTTGAGGTCTGTAGGGGAAAAGTTACCATAGGGCTTGAATGTTCCCCAGGAATATTTTAAAGATCAAAATGGTGGTTGTCCTCAGAAAAGGGACTGCATCACTGTTGAAGTCACAAGCAGCCTCAAAGCGTCATAGCACAGAGTAAGTCAGGTTTAAGGAGGTAAGGGACCTGCAGAGCCTGCTGGTTGGAAAAGGCATAGTGTTCATCTGATCGCTTTCCTGCAGCGGTGCCATGGCACTGGCGATCTGTGGAGCTTTTTAAAAGTAAGGGATCTCCTCAGCACTGTGTGGGTCTCTAACCTTGATTTGTCTTCTCTGCCTAGTGGACCTGTGTCTATGAATTCCAGGAAGGAGCTCCAGTGCGACCCGTCTCACCACGCTGCTCTCTACGACTGACTCATTACATTGAGGAAGCCAACGTGGGCAGGGGCTATATCAAAGAACTGTGCTTCAGCCCAGACGGGCGAATGATTTCTTCCCCTCATGGCTACGGGATCCGCTTGTTGGGATTTGACAAACAGTGCAGTGAACTCGTTGACTGTTTGCCCAGAGAAGCCAGTCCCCTGCGGGTGATCCGTTCTCTGTACTCTCACAACGACGTGGTACTGACAACAAAGTTCTCTCCGACGCATTGTCAGATTGCCTCAGGGTGCCTTAGCGGCCGGGTTTCTTTGTATCAGCCAAAGTTTTAGGCACAACTTACATCAAACAAGGAACTCTTCTGGTCTCTGACTTACAAATTACTTCAATTTAGGTGAAGTATTTTCTTTTAGAAGATCTAAGTTTGGGTCAAGGTCCTGGTTCTTATGGGTCCACGAACACACCGCGACCTGAGCGCGTGGTCATCAGCATCTCCGAGGTGGCGTGGCGCGGCGCGGCAGCATCCTCTTGCCATTCCTCTGCTCCTGCTCGTCTGTGCCGCTCGGCTCCACCTCTTCTGGGTATTTTGCACAGTAGCTCTTGTTAAGCTCCTGTCTTCTTTTTCTTCCCTCCCTCCTTCCCTTTTCCACTTTGGTGTGAATATTGTGGACATTTGACAGGAGTGTTCATTGGGCTAGGAGAAACAACCTGTGATCCCAGTATTGAATAAAACCCAGAAGTTTGATGTTGGCACGCTGGCTGTTGAAAAAGAAATCTCATCTTCATTGATCAGTATATTTGGCATTTTAAATTTGCTGTTATATTTCTCTATATATGCTCTATATTTCTGAGCATAGATAATGCCATTATTCTCATAATTGTTAGATAGTCTTGCAACACAATGTCTTACGTTTCCTGTTAAAATTATACAGGTTTTTTTCACGATGAGAGGGATTTGTTGTGAGATTCCAGGAGAGATATCACCGCCTCTCTGCACTTTACTTGTATGAATTTAGAGTCTCTAGCATGTGTCCTTAACTGGTATTCTGTTCCGTCAGCAGCGTCGGAAGGGAAAGTGGAAGCGACGGGCCTTGGTTATTCCCATCGAACAGAAGAGGACTGATAAGTTTACCGCAGTGTCTCCATGGATGTGGTGGCATCTGTGCGACTTAGTGCTGGGGTGAAGGGCGCTCACGAGTGAGGCGGCGGTCTCTTACGTCTGTCTTCTGTAGGGCAGGTGTCGCCACCTCAGCTCTGTCAGTGAGGACTCCTGTAGTCCCCTTCCACTCCATCCTACCCACGGTGGTCTCCACATCCAAGGCAGACTAAGTGCTGATATGAAGTAGCGTGTTTTTGGTTTTGTTTTGTTTTATGGAATGCAGCAAGTAAAAGCATCAAGCAGGGGACCGGGGGTCAAGCACAAGGCCCACTGCCCTGTTGAGTAAGCTGCTTTCTTCGAATCTCCATGAAGAGTGGGATTGTATTTAGAAGAGATTTTCCAGAATCTGGAGTTATTTAAGCCATGTACTAGCCTTGCCCTCTTAGCTGCATTCTCTTAGGCGGTGTTCTCCGATGTGGGGGTGCACTGTAATCACTGAAGAGCTTGTAGAAAATGCTCAAGCCTGGGCCTCACCCAAGGAGAGGACAGGGGTCTGTATTCTTAACAGGAACCCCAAGTAATCTCTGGGTGATCTCCATCAGTTTAAAAACCCACCCTTAAACAGCAGTTACCACTTCTGTAACCACTGGTGCTTAACAGTCCCAGAAGGTGTTTTGATTATTTAAATAGTAGTGATAAGTAAATGAAAGCCGTTTTAGAGGCAGAAAAGGAATTGACCATGTTATCTGGCAGGTGAGAAGTTCAGCGAGTGGCCTGAAGTCGTTCTGCAGAGTTGGTGGCAGAGCCAGAGGCTGAACTCCAGTCTCCGAATTCCTGGCTCAGGGCAGCTTCTACCCTAGCGTGCTGTTAGAAGCCATGGCTGTGAGCGCTTCTCCCGTAAGTCGCATTACTGACAGTACCCAGAAAACGGCCAGGTTGAAAAAGGAAAGCATGTGGTAGAGCCAAGAACACCAGCCACACAGGGGAAGTGTTTTCAATCGTACCGAAAAGCTTCGGCAACCTAAATACATGAATAAAAAGGATATTTCTCTGTAGGACCTACCAAACAGACATTCACATACAGGCACGGAGGTGATAAACATTCTCACTGGGAGCACTGTTGGTTTTCAAACTAGTTTTAAGAATTAGATAATTTTACCACAGAAGTTGAAGAAAGGAATTTTTTGGTCATTGAAAATTACCACAAAGTGTAGTAAGAACAGGCTTGCCAGAAATTATGTGAAAAACACATACTTAAAGTACATTTTGGGATGTAGATCCATCCAAAGATGTCATCATTAAAAATAAGCTACCAAGTACCACAATCTGATGATAGGCAAGACTACGTGAATTGTAGCAGCCTTGGCCAGAGTTCCCTGTCAAATGCTGCCCCCACATGGTGCCCAACTCTGAACTCAGCCACTGACTGGTTCTTTGAACCGCTACAGAGTACCAGTTGTGCTTCAGGTAACTACACTCTTTGCTGCTCCTCCCAGACACCTCACAGTCAGTGGGATGAGCCCCAGCTTGCTTTGGGGGGAAGGTGAGGCAGGAGGATTAGGAGGGCTGGGTGGTTTACCTTAAGTCGGCAGTGGGCGGCAGCAGCGGCGTTCCAACCCGGGATTATCGCAGGCCAAAGCTTGTGCCTGCTGCTCTACCATTGCACCTTTTAGTTAAAGGTTAGTCCTCGGGCTTGTAAGTTTGTGTAGCATCTTCTGAAGTTTGGGGTTAGACCTCCAGACCCGGCTCACCTTCTGGTTCAGGTAAAAGAACCTCTGCAAGGCTGATGAGGACACACATCAAAGTCCATTTGTAACCGGAAAGCCACAAGCAGGACAAACAGCTGTCAGACAGAAGGACAGTGAGGGCAAGCATCCCTGGGGGGGAAAAAAAAAGCCTCAGAGGTGAGACTTTCACACACACACAGCCAGCAAACCCCCAGGAGAGCCTTTGTCCTCCTGAGGCACCGTCCCCATCACCAGGGCCTCGGCCAGCACGCAGCAAACACGGGCCTGAGGGTGGGAGGCAGCCCCTGGCGCGTCCAGGCCCCGTTTCCCAGCGAAGGGAAAATCGAATCTCGTGTTTTCTACTCTAAATTTTAAATGTTTTTATTCGCGAAAGTTGGTGAATGTATTCTAAGTGGTAATGTAATACATCATTGGTAACTGTAGTATAAGTGGTTCTGTTTTCAAAAGCTTCCTCCAGAAAGGTCTGTCTATGGCAGTGCTGTATTAGTTAAGGCCAAGTATGTAATAAATAGTTCCTTATTTTTAGTTGTGAAAATGAAGTGTGTAAAGCAGAAGACAGCTCTAATTTAGTCTGTTAAAAATGTGTGTCTGGTCTTTTCTCCCCCCTCAGAAGCCCAAAGCACACGTCTGTTTTGTCGTGGATATCAAAGAGGCAGCTATACCAAAAATTTTAGGAAAACAAGCAAGGACGCGGTAAATCACACGCTCCCTGCTCCTGGCTCTGGAGCCGGGACCACGCTGCACGCCTGTCAGAGCTGTGACCCCCGGCGCGTGTACCGTGGGGCGGGCGTGCCCGGACCCCCCAGTCCGCGGTCCTGGCGCCGCGTGTCTGACACTTGTAGTTGGAAGGCCGGGGCTGATGACAGTCGTCCCCACCGACTGACCAGCGGGCCGAGCGCTGGGAGACTGCACTCCCCACAGCCTGCCACGTCCCGAAGGGGACGGCACGCAGGAATTTGGATCACTAACTTTGTAAGTGCCAAAACCACAATCTTGGAATTATTTTTGATGCAAGTCTTTCAGGAGTGTAAGTGTGCCGCGCCGCCTAACTAGTGCACTCGGTGTAACTCACTTCTTCCCAATGAGGAGTCACAGTCGTCATGTGTTACTGCAGACCCCTACTGAGCTGTGACGCGCACGGGCTGTAACATACGACGCCTCAGTCCCTGTCCCCGGTGCTTCCCGCAGGCCCGAGGCCTAGAACAGCATCTGCCTTGGACTGTGGGCTTGTTTTCTATCTGCTAAGCAGCGTGCTCTGCCGCCTCCTGACCTGCCGCGTGCCCGTGTGGCGAGCTGGGCGTCCCGAGCGCCTCCGTCTGATCGGACAGACTCCGGGCACGCAGTCTGCTACGGCCCCCTGGTTGCTTTCCGCCCCTTGACTGTCACAGCAACCGTCCGGGAAGTACGAGCGCCCAGTTCCAGGCTGAAACTAGGCCAGCTGCTACCAACCAAGACGCCGCCGGGTGGCGGGATAGACCGCAGCGTGCCAGCGACAAAGGCCCCGATTGGCGGAGGGCTCTTTCATGCTTTTAAGGAGAGAGGAAGCGCGCAGGGGGAGAAATGAAAATAAAGTCCACACGGACAAGAGGACTTTGTCAGTAACCACTCAGCTGTGTGCTGAGAGTAGCACATGTTGGAGGTGCAGGGCAGTCTCCTAGATCGTTCTACAATTTATATCCTGGAGAGAATTCTAAATGACGTCCTAAGAGCTTCTACTCAAATGATAATGCAAATTATGAAAAACTCTCCAAATCACTTTTATGCGGCTCTCTTTAGTTGTAAATGAATTAGTGGTAGGGTGACAGGCTTCAGCCAGAGCCCCAAGGGCCATGTTTCCCATACAGACAGCCTCCTTCCTGTATGTGTGGATATAGTACACGTGTCACTAGAAACCAAAGTGTCATCCAGAGATAATAAAATAACTTAAAATTTGAATCTGGTCCCAAGTCTTTAAATTAGGCAGCACTTGCAGCTTTTCTAAGCTGTCCAGATACAGACAGGTTGCATGGCTTTTCTATTAAAGAGCAAACATTCGGGTTTCTTTTACATTTCACTGCACCTTCTACTTGCAGACTGTGCTTTCTGCTAAATTTTAGATTCACATTTGCAGGAAATGTAAAGTGGTGCAGATAACATGCCAGACACCCAGGACATCCTCTCCGGCTCCGAGCTGCTGTGACGTTCTCACGCTAGACTGTAAGCTCCTGGCGGGCAGGGGCTGGCTTATTTATCCTTGAGTCTTCAGTCCCTGGTACAGGACCTGACACAGAGCATTTGTTCAGTACTCATTGAATGAGCCAGTTGAACCTTCACATGTGGCCCCAAGCTCCCAAGAAGCTAGGACACGACGTGTGAATTACCCAGGACTAGAGGAACCCATTGCTTAGTACATCTAATAGACTGTTCAGAGGAAGACAGTTCTGGCTGCAAGTAACTTTCTCATGGGTTTGGAAAACCACAGGTTAGCACTCAACTCTTCATTCAACAGCCATTGGGATCCCTGCTGTATGTCTAGTCGAACTCTACAGACCGAAGGATCAAAGATCACTGAAGGTCCGGGTACTTCATGAAGGCGTTCCCGTCCATGCAGAGCTCACGGGCGCTGGACCTGTGCGCTCGGAGGGCCCCGCACCCAGCAGAGCGCCTCGCCAGACGGACGCTCTGCTGCGGCCATCCTGAGTGTGTTTGAAAAGGGGCCTGCCTTTTTATTTTACACTGGATACACAGAATTAAATAGCTGGTCTTGCTAAGATGTTATCATTTTGACATGTTGGAAACAAAATAAAAGTTGCAGTATCTTCCATCGATCTTCTAGAAAAGATGTTGACAATCATTGAAAACCGGCTAGAGGGGCCAGCATTGTGGTGTAGCGGGTTAAGCTGCCACCTGCAGGGCCAGCATCCCATGTAGATGCCAGTTTAAGTCCCAGCTGCCCCACATCTGATCCAGCTCCCCCCTAATGTGCCTGGAAAAGCAGCAAAAGATGGCCCAAGTGCTTGGGCCCCTGCACCTACATGAGACCCAGAAGAAGCTCCTGGCTTTACCTGGCCCAGCCTTAGCCATCTTAGCCATTTGGGGGATGAACCAGGGGGTGGAAGAGCTTGCTCTGTGCCTCTGCCTCTCCTTAACTCTGCCTTTCAAGTAAATAAATCTTGAAGAAAAAAACCAGCCAGATAGTGCATGACTTAGTAAAATCACTTCTGAAGTCTAAAAACTGTCTCCCTCCTTTGAATTGGCTGACAGCTGGAATGTTCTGCGTTTCAGAACTAGAAGACCTTTCTAAAACACAGTTGGCTCTTACCTTTTGTCTTGAGTTGCTTTGAGTCTTTCAGAAGTGAATTTATCTTATCTGTAAACTTACCTACATAAATTTGTAAGGCTTTACTAACTTTTATTACATGTGCACATAGTATTTTGGTACAAGCCTACCGCATAGCATACTATTAACACAATAGTACGGGTGGTAGGCATTTGGCTGAACAGTTGAGGTGCTGGTTGAGACGAGCTCCCCCACCCCCCGCCCCCATCTCAGAGTGCCTATGTTTGATACCCGACTGCAGCTGCCAACTTCAGCACCCAGCTAATGCAGACCCTGGGATGTGGTGCTGGGTCAAGTGCTTAGGTCCCTGCCACCCATGTGAGGGACTTAGTTGAAAAAAAAAAAAAAATTAAGATTTGAGGGGGCCGGCACTGTGGCTCAGCGGGTTAACACCCTGGCCTGAAGCGCCGGCATCCCATATGGGCGTCAGTTCTAGTCCCAGCTGCTCCTCTTCCAACCCAGCTCTCTGCTGTGGCCTGGGAAAGCAGTGGAAGATGGCCCAAGTCCTTGGGCCGCTGCGCCCACGTGGGAGACCTGGAAGAAGCTCCTGGCTCCAGCTGTTACAGCTATTAGGGGAGTGAACCAGCAGATGGAAGAGCTCTCTTCGTCTCTCCCTCTTTCTGTAACTCTGCCTTTCAAGTAAATATTTTTTTAAAGATTTTTATTTATTTATTTGAGAGGTAGAGCTACAGATAGTGAGAGGAAGAGACAGGTCTTCCTTCCGTTGGTTCACTCTCCAAATGGCCTCAACAGCTGGAGCTGCGTCGATCCGAAGCCAGGAGCCAGGGCCTCTTCCAGGTCTCCCATGTGGGTGGTGGGGGCCCAAGGACTTGGGCCATCTTCTACTGCTCTCCCAGGCCATAGCAGAGAGCTGGATGGGAAGTGGAGCAGCCAGGTCTCGAACTGGCGCCCATAAGGGATGCCAGTGCTTCAGGTCAGGGTGTTAACCCGCTGCACCACAGTGCTGCCCCCATGTTTTATAATCTTAAAAATTAGTTTTTATTCAGTGAAAGTTGTATTTGTATCAATAGGAAGCATAGTTGCCGCATTTTTACTTTGTCAAGCTTCATACAGTGATTGGCTGTCATACAAACTCGGAGCACGCTATTTTTCAGTGTTCCAGAGAATAACATTTTCTTATATTAATAATGTGATTGATGGCTCATTTTACCATATTATTTTCATTCATCGGAATAATTACAGGCATGTCTAAGATGCTTGTGGGGTTTTTTTTGTTAGTCATTGAAGAGAAAACTAGAGGGAATCTCAATAGAAATTATTTTGTGAAACTAATCATTCAAACTGATGTAGCTAACCATAGCACCAATTAGCACTATTTCAGCTCTCCCTGACTGACATATCTGGGGCTATTTAAAACAATTTATTGAAAAGAAAATTATTCAGCATGTATTAATGCCGATGAATTACTATGTAAATTAGTTTCCCATTACTACTGTAACAAATTACAACAAACTTAGTTGTTTAACACAGCACAAATTTCCGTTGTGGTCCTGGCAGTCCATAGTGGGCGTCCTTGGCTGCAGTCAGGGCGTCGGCAGGATTGGCCGTGCCCTGGGGGGGCTCAAGGGAGCCCATTTCCTGGCCGGTCCCAGCGTCTGGGGCCACCTGCAGCCTCCGCACCCTCCTTTGCCCTTCCACCTGCAGGACCCTCGCCATCATGCTGGGCCCACCTCCGGATCCAGGATGCTCCCTGTTGTAAGGTCAGATGAGCACACTGGATCCTATCCATAGCCCTGGCCACAGAGGACGTGCACAGCTTTGGAGGGCCACTATGCACCCAGTACTAGGCATAGTACCCATTCTTGGGTGGTAGACAATGTACGTGTTCCCATTTTACAGGGACAGAACTAAGGCTTGGAGAGATTCATTTACCTAAAGTCATAAACCTAGTAAGTTTCAGAGTTAAACTCCTATCCGTCTGTGACTTCATGGCCCAACTTCAGTTGCTATATTACTTTGATAATTCAGTGAGAAAATATTTATTGTAAGCAAGCTATGTACAACATTGTGATTACAGAGCGTTAAACTTTTTTTTAAAAAGGTATCGCAGGGGCCAGTGCTGTGGCACAGCAGGTTAACGCCTGGCATCCCATTTGGGCGCCAGTTCTAGTCCTGGCTGCTCCTCTTCTGATCCAGCTCTCTGCTATGGCCTGGGAAAGCAGTAGATGACCCAAGTCCTTGGGCCCCTGCACCCGCGTGGGAGACCTGGAAGAAGCTCCTGGCTCCTGGCTTCGGATCGGCACAGCTCCAGCCGTTGCGGCCATCTGGGGAGTGAACCAGCGGTTGGAAGACCTTTCTCTCCATCTCTCCCTCTCACTGTAACTTTTTTTTTTTTTTTTTTGACAGGCAGAGTGGACAGAGAGAGAGAGAGAGAGACAGAGAGAAAGGTCTTCCTTTTGCCGTTGGTTCACCCTCCAATGGCCGCCGTGGCTGGCGCATCACACTGATCTGAAGGCAGGAGCCAGGTGCTTCTCCTGGTCTCCCATGGGGTGCAGGGCCCAAGCACTTGGGCCATCCTCCACTGCACTCCCTGGCCACAGCAGAGAGCTGGCCTGGAAGAGGGGCAACCGGGACAGAATCCGGCGCCCCAACCGGGACTAGAACCTGGTGCGCCGGTGCCGCAGGTGGAAGATTAGCCTAGTGAGCCATGGTGCCGGCCTCAAATAAATAAAATCTTAAAAAAAGATAGTGCACAATTAACATCACTTAAAAATCCCTTGTTTATATGTTTACTGATGTTATGTACAGTTTGTTGCTTCATCTCTAAAATTCCATAGCAGGGCTGGAAAAAAAGATCCATGATATTGGGGCCAACATTGTGGTGCAGCAGGTTCAGCTGGTGCCTGCAGCGCTGGCATCCCATATGAGCACTGGTTCAAGTCCTGGTTGCAACAGCTTGGGAGAAATTATTTGCAAACTATGCAACTGATAAAGGATTAATAACCAGAATATATAAAGAGCTCAAGAAATGCCACAAAAACAAAAACAAAAAAAATAAACAACCCAGTTAAGAGATGAGCAAAGGACTTAGACATTTTTCAAAAGAAATCCAAATGGCCAGTGTCTAGACACATGAAAAAAATGCTCAGGATCACTAGCCATCAGGGAAATGAAAACCAAAACCACAATGAAACCTCACCCCCATTAGAATGGGTTTCATACAGAAATCAACAGACAACAAATGCTGGTGAGGATGTTGGGGGGAAAAGGAACCCTAATCCATTGTTGGGGGGAATGCAAACTGGTACAGCCATTGTGGAAGACAGTTTGGAGATACCTCAGAAATCTGAATGTGGCCCTACCACACGACCCAGCCACCCCACTCCTGGGAATTTACCCAGGGAAATGAAATCTGCAAATAAAAGAGCTATCTGCACCTCAATGCTTATTGTAGCTCAATTCACAATAGCTAAGACCTGGAATCAACCTAAATGACCGTCAACAGTAGACTGGATAAGAAATTATGGGATATGTATATCATGAATGCTACACAGTGGTTAAAAAAATGAAATCCTGTCATTTGTAACAAAATAGGTGAATCTGGAAAACATAATACTTAGTGAAATAAGCCAGTCCCAAAGGGACAAATACCATGTGTTCTCCCTGATCTGTGGTAACAGAGCACCTAAAAGGAAACCTGTAGAAGTGAAAATGACACTTCGAGAAGCAATGACTTGATCAGCCCCTGTCTTGACTGCTGAGGAACAGGTGTTTTTTTTGTTTTTTGTTTTTGTTTTTTCCTTCAATACCATTAGTTGAACTCTTAACATGGAATTAATCACACGTGTATAAAGTCAAGTGAAGATCGATCCCAGTAAAAATAAGAGTGGGAATAAAGGAGAAGCTGTATAGTTCTGCATACATTCCTATGGACATACTTCTATGGGTACAGCTCGAAATTTGCCATGGGACTCCAAATCCCATTAAGATGGCATTATTACCACTCAGCTTAAGTGTTCAAGTGATCATATAGATAGGACTAAATGTTAAAGGGATCATATAAATAAGACCAAGTGTCTGGTAATAACAATACATAGAATTAAAAAGGAGAGAATGTTCCAACATGGGAAGCAGTCCACAGCAGACTCATAGAAAGACAATCACTATAAATAGCACTCTGACCTCAGAGTCAACTCTTAAGACATTCTGGTCTGGCTGAAAAGCCCATGACAGCATTTCAGGCATGGAAAGCCAAGACACTGTGGCAAAAATGATCTACATGAAGGATCTTTGAGTGAGACCCCAGTGGAAAGAAGGGGCCATCAAAGAAGGATGCATTTTCCTCTGAAGGGAGGAGAGAATGTCTACTTTCCTATGGCCTTGTCAATACTGATGGAGATTGTGGACTCAAAAGGTTTCCATAGTCTTGGCAGCTCATGTCAAGAGCATCTGGTGGTCTCTGACATCATACATAAGTGTTAACTGTTAAATTAACAAGAGTCACTGTGCACTTACTTCCCATGCAGG